CCGAGACTCCGAGCCCAGCAAGTTGGGGGCTCCTGCCGCGGCGGGCGAGGCGGCGAGCGGGCAGGCGCAGAGGCAGCCGGGCAAGAAGAAACACCGACGGCGGCCGTCGCAGAAGAAGAAGCGGCTCTGGAAGCCCTACTACACGCTGACCTGGGAGGAGAAGCGCAAGTCGGACGAGAAGGAGAGCCTGCGCGCCTCGCGGGTGCGCGCCGAGATGTTCGCCAAGGGCCAGCCGGTCGCGCCCTACAACACCACGCAGTTCCTCATGGACGATCACGACCAGGAGGAGCCCGACCTCAAGACCGGCCTCTACTCCAAGCGGGCGGCCGCCAAGTCCGACGACACCAGCGACGAGGACTTCATGGAGGAGGCGGGCGAGGAGGACGGCGGCAGCGACGGCATGGGCGGCGACGGCGGCGAGTTCCTGCAGCGGGACTTCTCGGAGACGTACGAGCGGTACCACGCGGAGAGCCTGCAGAACATGAGCAAGCAGGAGCTCATCCGCGAGTACCTGGAGCTGGAGAAGTGCCTGTCGCGCATGGAGGACGAGAACAACCGGCTGCGGCTGGAGAGCCGGAGGCCGGGCGCCGAGGACGCGCGCGTGCGCGAGCTGGAGCTGGAGCTGGCCCGGCTGCGCGCCGAGAACCTGCAGCTGCTGTCGGAGAAGGAGCCGCGCCGGCAGCCAGAGCGCGCGCCGCTGGCCACGTTCGGAGACTAGCCGGGCCGGGGACTTCGGGGACGCGTGGCGCGACGGCGGACCTTTTTACACGCAATCAGAAGAGAACATCCCGGCCTTGGTTGGTTTCGTGAATTTAGCGATGCTGTAGCTTGCGTGCTTTCTCCTGTTCAATTATGTGAAACCGAAGAGTTGCTTTTCTCGTTTTCCTTTTTAGAAGTTTCTTTTTAAATGTGAAAGTAATTTGACCAAGTTATGATGCATTTTTCTGTTTTAAAAAATCCCTCCTTAAACGGAGCTATGAGGTGGCCAAACCCGAGAACAATTAAATCCATTTTAGTTATAATAAATTTAATATTTGTAAATGTAACATAGTTTCAGTGTGATTTCTAGAGCTAATTTGAGATAGTACTGATTTGTTTTGTGATTGCATTTTGGGGGAGGGGCAATACAATCGTTAAATTTGTCAGTTTGCAAAAATACCAACCTTCAATGGGAGAATTTTCAAATTTGCCGGCTTTTCCCTTGAATGAGTTTTGCTATGTTAGGGCATGCAGTTCAGGCAAAGGATAAAGACTGAATTTTAGCCTCAGTACTTAAGTGTGCTTGCTTTCTAGTGCCTTGGTTTTCTTTCTTGATGCTGGAAAAATAAACCAGTGTTGGATGTTTGGGGGCGTGGAGGAAAGTGGCTACAATCAGAAGCTTAAGATTGAATTCTGCCTCTCAGCCACTCGGCAGTGTCATAAAAAGGTGAAGGTAATTCAGCAGTATGTTGGGCTAGACAACTGACAGCCTCATTTCACTTCCCCAAGTTGGCCTTCAGTAACTGCTTCCTCCTTTCCCTCAGCAAGGCTGGAAGGAGTTCCTGGATGCTGGAAGGGGCTCTTGGTAAGCCACCGCTTCCCTTGTGCAGCAACACTGGGCCAGACCCGTGCGCAGCTCTTTCTGCTGATGTTCATGGGTAGAAATGCTGGATTTATAAAGGACGTGGCTGATGGGGATGCCAAGGACTTACTCTAATTGTCCAACACCTAAGTGCTCTCTATACAAAAAAAGGAATAGAGCTATCCACTTTCCCATGTGGGTCAAACTAAAATTAGAAGTGCCCCCTCACAGCAGATCAAATGTAAAGTCTCCCTTCAAGGAGTTCCTGAGGTCCTCAGCTGAACCGGGAGCCCTACACGGACCCTGCAGCTGCTGTTCTCAAACTACACTGATAGCGGCTCACGTTCTGAGTGGTGCTGCTCTCAGAACACAGGGAGGCCCCGAGACCTAGCTTCTGCCTCCAAACCAAACAGAAGTGACATTATTCCCTCCTGTTGCCCGGGGTCAGTGTCTGCCTCGGGCAATGCATTGCTCGGTTCACTAGCACAGGGGTTCATTGATGGGGCCTTAGACACCACAGCGGGCCTTGGGTCCATGAACCCGTAAAGTTGTAGTAGACTTGTACGTTTTTCTGAGGAGAAGGTTTGAGAGGTTCATGAGACTACAACTCCTTGAAGGGGAAGGGGGAAACAGCCCCTCCCACTGGGAAGCCTGCTTTTGCAGTTAAACAGCAATAGGGGAGGTGGTGGGAATTTGGGGTCAAATGTCCTCACCATGCATGAGCAGTGTGCACAGACCAGTAAGGGAAACTATACAGTACACTGAGTCAGGGCCTTCAAAGCTGGACTGAGTTGGTCCACTGGAGACAATGTATGATCGTGTTTTTCATTGGCCTAAAATTTATATTAAACGTCTATTTTGAAATAGATCTCTTCGTGTTTTTAATTTTTCTTCTGCTATGATGTCATGCGGCAGCCCCAGAAAAACAGCTGCTTGGAAAGGCAGCAACAGTGCCCTCTGGCTTTACAGTACAGAGCGGAAGCCTCGGTCTGACTGCACTACGGATGCAGCAGTGACCACCTCTGACTTTAGATCCTCTTCTTAAAAAGAGGGATTTCACTATAGAGATCTTCCCCATTAGAAAAACAAGATTTCCAAAGTGAATCTTGGAAAGACTATAAATGCATATATCATCAGAAAAAGTACGTATTTTACTTTTAGGAGAGAAATTCAGACCAGTCTTAAAAATAGACATTTAAGCTGGGCTCGGTGGCTCAGCCTGTAATCCCGCGCTTTGGGAGGCTGAGGTGAATGTATTGCCTGAGCCCGCGGGTTCGAGACCCACCTAGGCAACTTGGCAAGACCTCATCACTACAATAAATCAAAAAATCAGCCAGGCGTGGTAGCGCGTGCCTGAATTCCGGCTACTCGGAAGGCTGAGGTGGAAGTATCGCTGGAGCCCAGCAGGTCGAGGCTGCGGTGGCCGGGAGCGGCCACTGCACTCCAG